GCAGCAGTCAACGCGGGGAAAAACAAGTAAACTGAACGCCGATTATGCGAGTCCTAGTTCGTAGGTTGTTGTTGTATGTGCAGTTGCGAGAGGTTGTCGTTTTATTCGAAGTCCGTCTTGACCGAGGCGATTCCCGACGATTCCACCGCCCTGGGAATTGGTGTAAAGAGGTCGACCATGTTCAGCGTCAAATCCCGAGTCCCAAAATCCTTGCTGATCTCCCCTATCGATCCCAACTCTTCTCCTCTCTTTGCCCCGTCAGACATTACCCAATCCTTGACCGACTTGAGGAGATGCATGACCCTCATGAACCGATGGTCTGGTGGCATCTGGAGATCAGCCAGCTTGGTGTTCTTCAGCATGTAGTTGGCAAGCCAGTAGAAGTGAACACCGTCCCTGGAGAACCCCTGTCGTTGCGGGTTGATGTCTTCTTGCGATGACACCGGGGGAAACTGGCTGGCCATGTCGGCATCCCAGTTCTGCTTGAACTTATCCAGGGCAGTTGCGAAGATTCCGAGAACCTCTGGCCGCATCGTCCCATCCACGGGCGTCGCACGTCCACTTGTGTTCGCGCTTGGTGGCCAACTGCCGTTGGCACCGCCAGACACCACCCAGTCGGCGTGCGACAGGGGCGTGTTGGATCCATTCATGATCGCCCCTGCGCCAAGGCCCTCGGTCTGAGCCCTACGCATGAGAGCCATGAGAGAGTGGATAAGGATGAATTTGCCGTACAGGTTTGTCGTGCCCGGCTGGATCTGGTATGAGCTGTGCAGAAGCGCCCGCAGCACGAGGTTGGTCTCTGGTTGCTTCGGACGTCTTGTTCCATGCGGGTTCCGCTCAAGCGCTGAGTCAGGTCCGTACAGTCCCAGAGCTGCCGCACATGTGCCGCTGTCCGGAGCATCCCAGGCCGCGTCGTCTGCGGGCAGTGGAATATGTAACTGGAGAGGATCGAACAGCGGGGGCGAGTTGAAGTAGAGGCCAAGTGCAGTATCGCAGAGGAACGTGAGGAAGAAGACGCGTATCCGCTTCTCCTGCTCGATCCAGGCAGACCAGTCGAAAGATGACGGATCAAATATAGTAGCCGAGAACGACGGCTGGTGTAGAGCACTGGACAGAGATGGGCCTTGCGAAACGTCCAGAAGTCCAGCCTTGCGAGTGACAGCAGCGATGAGCGGGTAGAGACGCCTCACAGAGTCCCTCTGCTCAGGCGTGCCGTTCCAGATGAACAGGATGTTCATGAGCATGATGGCCTGCAACTCCTCAATCTCCTTGACAGAGTCGAAAGAGTTGTTGCCATATTTGATTTCAGGATCAACACCATCATCTAGGGACGCTAGCAGCTGCGAGTCTCGCTCCAAGGCAAACTTGAGGAAGTTCATCACCTCTCGGACCTCATCTGGTGACACGCGATCAGAGTAGCAGGCGCCCACGCAGCAAACGCCCGCCAAGAGGCCGGTATAAGCATCGAGAATGCGGAAAGTTGGAATATGCAATATAGAGAAATGTCGATGGAAATGGTTGTATCCGCCGAGGAAAGACTTGATGTTGTCTGGATCAAGAAAATTGCGAAGGCGTACGTTGTTGGGGTTGGACGAAGGATCGGGGAGTCGGAAAAAGTTGGTGAGCTGGTCGGATATTTGTTGATAGGGGTTGCGGGTTAGGTTGATGAGGTCGTTGGATGGGGGCGCCCAAGAATCGAAGAAGAGGCATCGGTCGTCGGGATCGGGGTGGTGGTTGCCGCCGGGGGCGCCGTCCGGTCGTTCGGGGCCGGCATTAGGCTCGGGCTTGATGGTTGCGATCTGCGTCTGTCCAATATTAGGCGGGAATTGATGGTTGACGTAGGTATTTTGCGCACCAGCCTGGAACATCTGGGACCAGTCAAGTCCACCAGATTGTTGGTTTGACGCCTGCTGGCCCATAAACGGCATGCCGTTCTGCGTCGGCTGCATCGGGTAGTTGGCAAGCTGCGGGTTGATGTTGGCCGCCATCGAGTGGGGAACACCGCCGTTGTAGCCCTGGTTAAAGTCTTGGGGGCGGCCGTTCTGACCCATGACCGAGGCGCTTCTTCGGTCGCGCTCGTTGGGGTCTTCCATGCGCTGTATGCTCTGCTGCCTGGAAAGGTGGTTTTGGTCATTGGACATGTTTCCCATGCCGTCCGCCGACGGTATCAAACCGAAGGGGTGGACCATGCCGTCCGGGCCCATGTTGCCCATGCCATTGATCGGGTTGAGCTCATTCTCGTTGCCCAGTGCCTTTTGCGCCGCCTGGTTCTTCTTGACATGCGCATGAGGGTGCGACAAGTGGCTGGCGCCCGTGGGGTTACCACGGCGGATGGAGCACTTTTGGAAGTGACGCTTGAGAATGTCACTGCGTGAAAATGTGTCCCGACACAGGACGCACATGTACGGGCGGTCACCAGTGTCTAAAAGTAGAACAAATCGTCAAGACACGCCCCGGATACTTGGGGAGGAGCGCGGGAGAGTCACTGCAGGGTCAGACGGTTTAGGATTTGACTTACGTCGGAGAAGGTGCCTCTTCAGATGCTTGGCATGAAGGTACGTCTTGTTACAGTGGGGGCACGGAAACTTGCCATCAGCGTCCTTTTGGGGGATCTGGTTCTTAGCCGCGACGCTCCCGGCCACGGGGGCCTGGGGCCGGCCGGGGGCGCTGGGCAGTATTCCGCGCCTCCCCTGGGAGCCAACGACGTGGGTGGGCTGCTCGCCCTCCTGTTGCATCATCTGCGGCTGGGGCATCAAAGGGCTCTGGGCATAAGGCGATGACATGCCTGGCTGCGGGATGACCCCGCCAGCCGGCATGGGGCGCAAAACAGGTGGAGCGCGTCCACCGGGAGCGGGCGCCGGCGCGATAGGCTGCGGGTGAGCCATTGAGGTGGAAGCTTGCGGCATCATCGACTGCGTCGTCTGGTAGCCCTGATGAGGCTGTTGATACTGGTTGTTCGGCATCATGCCGGGGTACGGAGCGCGCGCAACATTTTGCTGGGCAGGAGGGGGTGGGTAGCTGCTCATGGCGCCGTTCGAGCCCGGAGTGTTGGGCGTGGCTGGGGTTCGTGGAGTGTGAGGGTAACTTCCGTAGGGCGCAGAGGGTTGCTGCATCATATGACCCTGCGGCTGGAGAGGAGGCAGAGTCTGCGGAGGCGCCGGGGCGTGGTTCTGCAGACTGTGCGACGAGGTCGAGGAAGGCGATGGGTACGAGGATGTCGTCGTAGTGTTTACCACATTAGACGAGTAGGAAGGGTGGTCCATAATCCTTCTCAGAGCAGACTTTTGCTACAACGACACGACGAAACCATCCAATCCAGGTGGCGGAAGGACCCGATGGCTTGTAGCGGAAGCTTGTCGGGCTCTTGCGATTGCGGCGACGGCAAGGCGCGTCTCGAGGACAGCCGTGGAGATGGTGTTTGCTTGCGCGGGTTGAGCTTGCGCGCGCGCAAAGGAAGCTGCAACTGCGAGATGCGACGGGGGCGAATGCTGCTCGTCGCGATGATCTTGGTCCCGGTTTCCTCCTCTACAAGCGCCCTCACGGTTGCGTTGTGCCTATGCCGGGCGGAAAGTCGACTCGATCGCGTCTTTCTCTTCGCGCGGGGCTCAGGGCTTGGGGTGGGTAGCTTGTCGGCGTTGGTGAAAGGGTAGTGGTTTGAAGTGGAGATGAGAATGTGGGCGACGTGAGGCTCAAAAAAAAGGCGGTTCTTGTGGGTGGTGTGGGTGCTTTTTAGGATTGTGGATTTGGCTGATTGAGGAGCACGAAGGGTGTGAAGAAGAAAAAAATAAAGGCGCCGGAGGGGGCGGGTGGGGACCCAGTGATTTTTTCTTCTCGCTCGGGCTTATTATGGTGAAGGATGATGCCGCGGCCGTTCGTGCCCTCGGCCTCCCCTGTTCTTTCTCGTTCCCTGTCTGCGACACACAGTGGTAATACCCAGGAGGTCGGCGAGACTGCCAGGTACGCAGAAACGCAAGTAATGAGAGTACCAACGTGTGGGTGACGTGTGGCCCTGATCGCAAACGCGGGTAGCAGGAGAGGAGACGACGAGAGAAAAAAAAAATGGGCTCCAGGCGACCAGCAGGCGGTGGTGGGTGAGTGGAGACGGTGAGGCAAGTGGGCGAAGTGGACCGACCGGGAGGTGGTGGAAGATTTATGTGGATCGAGGAAGGGGACGAGCCAGCAAAAAACGGGGGCCCTCTAATAAACAACGACGTCGCGCTTGATCCCACCGCGGTTGGAGAATCCTCGGCTTAGCGATGCAGAATCCACAATACGAAACAACCAGCCTGCTCGACTTGACCTGCAGCAAGCCCGGCGACGGGATGACAGGAGGGTTTGGGCGGGAGGAAATCGCAGGTGGCGGAATGAGCAGACGGGAGAGATGGGAGGAAAGTAAGAAAGAGGGAGAGTTGCTGACCGACCGGCAAGAGCGCGAGGAATTCTGGGGGGGTGGTGTTTAGAGGGAGTCGAAAAAAGAAAGACAAAAATTCCAAGCTAGGGAAATTTCGGGCCACCACTCCTGTTTGTATACTAGGTTCCAAATCGGAGCCACCAATACAACCTAGGCAGATCTTGTTTTTATTCCCTTGTATTTGTTTGATTTTATCTCATTTTTCTCTTTCCTTTTTTTTTCTTTCTTTTTTTCTTTCCTTTTTTTTCGTCGAGTCGCCCATCCCTGCAGTCACGTCGAGCACACGGTCCAGCGGCGGCGGGGGAGTCCCCCAATTCTGACATGTTTGACATGGCCATCGACACCACCCTCCTTGTCGCATCCATCACACTGACCACCTCTACATAGCTTGGAAGCGCACCATCCACCAGCGCTGGCAAGCAGTATCCGGGTGCGTCTGCCCATTCAGAGGCGGGTACGTAGACGAGGTGTTATGTGGGCGCATGTAGGCATGTGTTTAGGCGGGTTGGTAGCTCCAGGAGCTGCAGAGTGAAGCTGCCATATAGCTGCAATTTCATCCCGTGCAAGATTCCGCCCGCACGCGCCAGCATCGCGCCCACTGGGTCCTCCGCGTTTCCTTGACAAGCACCCTGGGTCCAAAAAGAAGAGTGGTCCGCCTTCGCGGTACGTTAGGTCCTCGTCTCCCCCCTTCGCGCCTGTAACTGCAAGTCAGAGCAGGGCACCCAGGTACCTCGGCCGGTCGCCTGGTCCGCTCGGAAGGCGCCTGCCAGGGAGGCGGGCGCGCGCAGGACGGTGTGCCGCCCAGTACCCAAGGGTCGAGGCGGGAGGGAGCTGGTGGACGCGATTCGGTGGCTCGCCTCGGCTCGTCGGTACAATACATGCCTAGCACGCGCTCATTTCAAAAAGAACGGCCGTCTTGCCCAAAATGGAGTCAACAGGGGAGAGCCATAACCCCTGTCGCCACCGCTGCTCAAGGCCTCGTCCTTGGCGGCCATGGTACGTACCGGCCTGGTACCCAGGTCGCGGAGAAGCACCGCATCGTGACATGGGCGGCAGGCATCTCGACCATGCTGGGGTCATGCGCTAGGCCTGCTAGCAGTGACATGGAGGACGGCAACGTCGCCAGCAGGCTTTCCTTTGTCGTGCCCTGCGACAGGCGAGCATCAAGTTTACCCGTAGTTTGCCGTCGGCGGCCCTGAATTTTGCCCAATACCGCCTGGCGCTACACCTGCTCCGGCGGCTTGCGGCAGTTGCGTAACGCGGTGCTGGTTGAACCTAGGTGCCTAGGTACCTTTGTGTCTCTCTTCCGCGTCATGTGGACCAAAGAAAAACTCGCAGGAAGCCGTAAAGTTGGATAATAAGCTGCAGTTACTCGATATAATTTTGATGTGGCGAACATTTGTCGTATCGCTCACAGCCAGTAAATGTGGGTGTGCGAAACTCAATAAACCCTGCCGCCTCTGGGGCGGGCCAGGTGGCTCCCTACCTCGCAGCAAACTTGCAGATGCAGATGACAGACCAGGCAATCTTCCAGAACTAAGGCGAAGCCGGTCGGTCATTCGTAGCGCTGTGCACTTCAGATGCCCAGCTGCTGTTGGGACTCGAAGACAGCTCGATACGGGCGCCTGTCCTTCACGTTGGGGTCAGCCGTCCCGACCTATGGGGAAAACGTGTTCTGACAGCCACCCCGCAGCGGCAAAGCTATCAATGAAGGTCGGGTTTTTTTTTCTTGTCACCGCGGATTCACGACCTCGGTTCGATATGCCACTTTAGCCCCCAACGACGCACACCATGGGCAGACAGACAGGTATGCACATATGCGCCGGCCAACGTGTCGTATGTCGTATTGTCGCACCACCTGGGGCCAAATCCAGCTTCCCGGCCTGCCGAGGAGCCGACCTGGCCATCCGACAGATCCCCGCCCAGCCAGACTCGATCTCCTCACCGACAAGTCAGGCGGGCGGAACTGGGCTGGACTGGACTCGCGGCCACGGAAATCTTGTGGAGAATTTGCCGCTACTTCAAAGGGTCCTTGGGCAGGAGCCCAACAGCCTGCGTGCGGCGGGCGGGAGGCGACGGCGGCGCCCACCACCACCCCCTGACACATCGCCAGCTCACCGTCTTTTGGGTGTCCCTGCCTGCCATGGCCACTCGGTTTGATAGCGGCGGAAACGACCCCTCCCAATAACCGTGCCATCGATGAACCCCCACGTAAAAAAAACAAAAAAAAACAAGACAACGACGTAAAAATAAGAATCGCTGCGAACAGACTTGCTCACCTTTCTCATGCACAAGCAAACATCCAGTGGGCCCCTCTTTGGCAAAATTGACACGATTGAAAAAATGCCGGACAAGCGGCCCCCGTGAGTCGCGCGGGGCACCTCGTCGAGGGGTTTTGCATGCAGGCACGTACCGGATACCAGAGCGTGTGCGACCTGTCCCAGCTTCGGCCAGTGTACATGGTACCCGATGCAACGTTTCCCCTCCCTCGGCTGGCTGGCCATGCCATTCTGGGTGTGCCAATTCGGCGGTAGCAGGGGGCAGTACATCGGGATACCTTTTTGCTGTCGTCCTCCCCCCCCTGTTAGGCTCTAATGCCTTGGTCATCCGTGGAGCTGCCAGGGTACGGCAAGGTCTGGGCTCGGAAATGCAGCCTGGTTGAGCATTCTGTCATCCTGCAGGGCGCACGAGTCAAGACGGTGCTAGCAGAAACGAATCCCAAAACCCGTCGGCTCCCCAGCCCCTTCCAACCCTGGTTTAGCACAATCGTCGCCATCATGCCTTTCCTTGATTTATTGTATTTTATTCTTTTTTGCCCGTCTCTTCCTCAATCGCCTGGCGCCTGTCTGCCTAGCCGTGCGGGCCAATCACGCGACCCGGAGACTCCCCCAAAGAGGACAGGTTGGAAAGACGGCATTTTGGCCGGGGGGTCTCGTGCCATGTCATCTACCACAAACAGGGGCCATCGATGTGGCGTCTAAACATTCTGCCGGAAATGGTGACCTGTTCGCCAATGGCGGTGCCCGGTTCCTCGCAAAGTGGTTTTCCAGTTGAGAGAATATCGGGTGCGCCTGCGATTGATCTCGGTGAGCCAATGCCTCGATAAATGTCTCCCCTGTGGATATGGGTATTGTACTCAGCTTGTACATACCTACTTGGACTTCGTCCCATAACACCAGGTGTGGGCAGGCGGGCCGATATGCTCCTGCAAGTGGGAAGCCACTCGGCCGATCAACTCGGCCCCATTCTGGCCTGTGCTGGATCGAATTTGTTGTTGTTTTAGGAAGACCCACGGGCCAGTTGGGGAGGGTGGGCAGCAGACGCAGGGCACAACGCCTCAACTGATGAACCGGTGGCGGGCTAGGGGGCTTGAGGGAGAGCGACGGCCAGGGGTCATAAAAACGGTTTAGTTTGGGCCCCGTGCATCCAGACCAGACGGGAGCGGGTGGAGGATTGGATCCTCACTTGGAGGCTCTGGGAGGGGACTTTGAAAGAACCCACTCGCACGGCAGCTTCCTGTACGACATCCAAAAAGAAATGGGTCGTTGAACGACGACGCCAGAAAAGACGGGTGAAAGAAAGAGAAGTTGCCATCTGCGCCGGAGCTGTCGGGACAGTGACGGCTCGCAGTCAAACCGGCCAAGACACGCCGCTAGTGCGTGTCCTTGGTCGGCGACTGTCAGTTTCCCGAGCCGTGCCGCAGAGCAAGAGTCGGGCGTCCTTTTGTCCTCCATCATTTCCCCTCCTCCTGCATTTTGCTAGCCGTCCATCCTAGCCGCTTCTCGAAAGGGTAGGTACCATGTCGGTTCGTGCCCAGATATATCGAGGGGGGGTCGCCCACCCCTGTTCCCTGCCCGACATGGCGACGAGATTGGTCTGTGTGATTTCCCTAGCCGACCATCAAGCCTGGAAGTCGGCACACATTGCGACGGCAAAAGTCGGTCTGGTGTTGGCATCCTCACGTTCCCCCCTGTCCTTCATTGTTTGCAGGACTCTCTTACCTCGGCCGCATTGCGATACAGGATGCAATGGTCAGGCAATCTGACCGGAAACCCAAACCACTTTTGATCATGTGGCCGAGCTAGCGAAGGGGATGGGCGGCATTGTTGCACAGAGGGTTTTTTTTGTATTACTGTTTTTTCCCTCCGATAAGTGTTGCCTAGCCATTGACCCCATTGAAGTGCAAAACCCCGTCCCTCCCGAATTCCATCCATGCTGCCCCCCTCCACAAACCACTTTTTTTTGCCAGGCCTGCATTCTCTAGAAAAAAAAGGGACCAAAAAAAATAAATAAATGGACAAAGACGCCTGCCCCAGGACCCTTCACCTGGGAGCTCCGTAAAATAAGCAGGCGCCACAAAAGCAAGGATATTCTGGCGACGAACCAAGATCGCTCTTTGTGGTTGCCTGCAGGGCCGTTGATGACGAAACTCGTTGCTACACATCACCACCGTGATCTCGATGCGAGCAAGGTTGTTCCGGGTCGGAGTGAGGGGTTTGGAGCACCTCTTTTCCGGATGGCGGAAGGGGTGTGCGGGCTTTGGTGTGGATGCTTCGCCAAGCCAGTCCCTGTGCCAGAGGCGCCAGCAGAGCCAGCAGAGCCGGGTTATTCGATGGGTTGTTTCCGTTTGATCAATATCAATGAGATGAAAGGACATGCATTGAGGTACCATATTGTACCTCACATTTAGGACACCTTGCATTTGCCGTCCCACGTACGTCCCGCCCCTATGGGATTCCACGAACATGATGAGAAGTTTGCTGCTTGACGGACATCTCGTCAGACATTTTCAATAGGCAGTAGCCATATCTAGTCAGCCAAACATAAATGATATTGATGCCAGGCCGCTCATGACCTCAGCCAGCCACCCCGACATGGTCCGGAGCACCAGGCTTTTCGTGGCCAGTCGCGGGATAATAATTCCTATTCCGTCCTGGCATTACACGCTGCTCATTCTCCCCTAGGCCAGCGTTACGTCTGGCTAACAGACGGTGAGCGGGTGGCACCATTGGTGCATAAGGAATAGTCCTTCAAGCGAAACTGCCCGAGCTCCCGCCGAACGAGGCACCCCTGAGATGCGTCCAGCGACAAGGGCGCATGACACCCCTACCGTCGTGAGATGCGTCCGTGGCACCCTCAGGGAAATGGATGGATGATGGATGGACGGAACAAACACCGCGATCCCGCGCGAGGACCATCCATCACCTGGTCCCTGTATCGCATCTACCAACCTTGGCGCAGGTCAGGAAAAGAAAAAAAAAGTTGAAAGGCGGGGAGGGTGGCCGATAGGTGGTATTACGGACGCATTGCAGGACAACATTCTCCAAGCGCATGTTTCTTTCATGTGCCGGGCAATTCCCGCTTTTGGCCCTCGCTTATTGCGTCGACGGTAGCGCGCAGCAGCCAGCCAACCAACTCTCCCTCGCGTAGACAGCACTTACGTCATGCAGACAGAGATTCCACCCAAGTCTCGGTTGGGTAACATGGCCGCCTTTCCTTGTTGAGATGGCAATCTTCAGCTCCAAGGCACCTCCCTCAACCCACCCTCCCGATATCATTCATTGTCCCGACCGGCCGGCGGCAAAATACGCCGTTGGAGGGCTGACAAATGGTCAAGTCACGACTTCCACTGCCCGGAGACACGCCGTCGTTCGTCGCTCAAATCCGGATCCTGACTGTCCGACCCAGAGCCAACCACCACATTACGCGATACATTGTCGACATCGAGTCAAGACCCTTGCCAGCAAGCTCGCCGGCAGGCAAAAAGTGGCCACGATTTCAACGGAGCTCAGGTGTCGTCGGCTAGGAGGTGTGCCTATTCTCAGGTGTCGCGCGCGTTGCGGTGTCCGGATTTGTAAAACGGGTAATGGAATGGGTCCTGGTTCCGAGCTCCCGGGAATGTCACTTGGGCTCGATTTTTTCTTTTTCTTTTCGTTCTTTTCTTTTTTCTCCAACCCCTTTGGACCGACCCACTTGCATAGTGGCGGTCTTATTTTTACGCCGGCTCCAGTCGACTAACAGCGGCATAGACTTTTTAGGTACCTCCGTTCGGTACATGTGATTACCGATCGCGTTGGGTCGGCGGACTATTTTGCGCCTTTTTCTGCAGTCTTGCTGCCCAGCCCTTGCTAAAAAAATGCGCGAATGGCCGGCCAAACGGATGGAAGGAAGCGCAGAGCAAATCTTGGGGGCGGCGGCCAAGCTGCAGACGGCGACGCGCTGAGACCCAATTCGAGGTTGTGACACGGCAAGTTCCATTTCGGGCAATCCGCCCGATCCTAGGATGTGGCTGGGAGGTTTCCAGACCGGGCTAGCCAAGACATTGAAACGAGCACCTGGCAAAATGTCGGCAGCGCATTTGGGAACGCGCCCAACTTGCGGGTTCCATTTCCACTGCTGCGATATTTGTCCCACCCAAGGATCTCCCCGACCCCCTGGCCATGGCGATGCATGGAGACCGCTGCTCGCTCATGCTCCCGACACGCGACGGGCTCTCCCCGCTGGAATGTGGGCGGGCAGGCAG